AATTAATGTAAAATCAAATTGAATAAATTAATAATCCCAGCTTTTGGCACTACTGTTTTTTTAATCGGGAGGTTTAAATTGAAAATAACCAGTGTTAATATATTGGTTGAAACGTTAGAGATTTTTCTAACTAAATGGTGATCACTTAATGGTTTCTGTTGTTATAGCGATTACCTACCCTAACAAAATTTAGAGTCGCCCCAGTTTCTTGTAATCCAAATCAGACTGCCGCGTCTGTAAATTTTTACTGGGTAGTTGGTGCAGCGCATCAAAGACGATTATCAAAAGCGTATCATGCGCTCCGTACGTAAGGCGTATCAAGCAAGGCGTAGAATGCATAGCGCAATAAGCGCATATGCAAGGCGAATTTTGTAGAGAGAATTTTCTGATGCGTATAACGGTTGCGCACATACAGAAAGTTAAATGCTGGGCATATCATGTAAAGCGTAATTTAATAAGCGTGTTAAGCGGGCGTATCTGAAGAAAGAATCTAAAAAATCGTGTCTAAAAGAAGAATTTATAATTGTATCTAAAAGAATCTAATTAAAAGAATAAATACAGTCATTGCCGCGTCGTTCGACAGGAGCAAATCTACAGGGTGGCCCAGTGGTTACACTTCAGAGTACCAGCATTGGAGGAGCGAGCTACTGGTTCTATACCAGCTATATACCTGTTCTATACGGTTCTATACCAGCTACCTGTTCTACAGGTTCTATACCAGCCACCTGTATACCAGCTACCTGTGACAGTTCTGGTCAGAATCGGCGAGGAGATCGGGCGGTTCAGCACTGAAAAATGGGAACAGTAAGTTGCCTGTTTGAAACTATAAAAAGCAGTGAATGTTCTGAGATGTTCAGAGTCGGCGACAGGTCTAACAGCCTCTTTAACGCTACGTAACACCGCTAAACAAGAGTCAAGTGCAGCTGGCATTTCACTCGAAGAAAAAAATGTAACATGTTGTCCAATACAGGAGACTTTTTTACCCACAGCCCTAGATAATACACCCTTTCGCCGCACCAGACTAGTTCAGGATGAACCACACACAAGGACAACAACTGCACCGTTATTTAGACCAAGACTCACTTTTTCCTACGAGTGTACGGATACTGTGGTGCAATGCATTTCAGGCGTCGCTCGTCCGCAGCGGCTGAGAACCTGTACCTCCCCCCCCACCCCTCCAACGCCATGCTCCCCAGTCCCCCCACCCGAAAGTTTGTTCTAATATTGTCATTCACACATTATAATAATAACCATTATAATAATATTGCCATTAAAATAATGTTGAACCTGCCCCCCCCACCCGAAAGTTTTACGACGGTCGTGAAGTCTGTTTCTCTACGACGGTCGTAAAGTCTGTTTCTCTACGAAGGTCGTAAAGTCTGTTTCTCTACGAAGGTCGTAAAGTCTGTTTCTCTACGAAGGTCGTAAAGTCTGTTTCTCTACGACGGTCGTGAAGTCTGTTTCTCTACGACGGTCGTAAAGTCTGTTTCTCTACGACGGTCGTAAAGTCTGTTTCTCTACGACGGTCGTAAAGTCTGTTTCTCTACGACGGTTGTAAAGTCTGTTTCTCTACGACGGTTGTAAAGTCTGTTTCTCAACGGTTTAAGATTTGCATCAATTTTTACGAGCCGGAAGATTCATCAACGATCAGAGACCAAAAAGAATTGTTTAATGTCAGATTTTCCCAGAGTTTGATCAAGTCTCTGGAAAGAAACAAGGTCTGGATAAATTTCTACGCAGATATTATTTTGTCTGAAAAGTTTTAGTTACTACTTATGCATCTCAATAATTATTTGCGATAAAAAAAACATCCTGGCTATTGTATTTTGAATTCATTATTGGAAACATTCAAATGTAATAAATGTAATGTAATAAATGTAAGTGCAGTGCTGATTCCAAATTTTCTGTCAATGTCTATTCTTCATTATTTTGAATTTTTATTCCTTATGACATTACATAACGGATGACATAAGTTTTCAGGAAGGCAAATAAACAACAAAACAATTATGGTTACACAATTGAAATAAAGTTTCGGAAAATCTAATTTCTGAAGCCAGTAAAGAAATCATTCAATTATAACGTGCATTTAGCCCTATGAATTTTCAGAAATTTTGCATATTAAAGGAGAAAATCGCAGGTGAAGAATCTATTAAATACTGTCATTACGCTTCAAAAAAGTTAAATAATATAAATCGGCCAAACATTGAAATGTAAAATCTATCATCAATTTAGTTCAATTTCACCACGTACGTTGCTTTAATTGCTGCTTGCAACGTTTAAAAAATGCGAAATAACGTCAATTTCCTTATCCGAGTGAAAACTATCATTAAAATGTTCATAAATTTAGATACGGAACGATGATGAGATAATTGGAGAGTGATGATAATAAGTCATCATACAAGGTACCTTGCACGATAAAGGATGAAATTGATTAAATTTGTATTGTCTGATGATGCTTCTAACCTCGAATGAAGAAGTGGCCGTATCGGAATAAAAGCCTAATTGAAATTTCAAGAGGCGAAATATGTAACGATGCATATAGAGCGTTCGTGCTAAGCATGTGTATGAACGCGTTCAAGAACAGACTAGATAAAGCTATGGAAAAATATATGTTCAGATTTGAAATACCTAGCACCATATCGAACCCGGTGGAAGTCTAGTAGCTACTTGAAACTATCGTCAGTCATGAAAAGGTCCGGTCAAATGACACGCTTTTAGATCTTCTGTGAACAAGGTACGAAAAGGAAAAGAATCGGCGACAGGCCACATCAGGCCTACACTTCAGCGCCGAGATCACTATGTTATGATATGTGTCGAACGACCTCATCTCGCATCCTATATTATATACAATTAAGGAATTTGCCTAACCTGCTCGATGCGCGATACTCGGTGTGGGCATGCCTTCTCCTGCCTGTTTATTTTAATGTCCCTAACAAATTAAATGATATGTTCATGCCCTTAACAAATTACCTTAACAAACCAATGGCTAATGTACACTATATAGCAATGATTGTGTGAAATCTAACCTCGAGTGCTCCACGCTCGATGAAATAGCTACGCGACATGAATTTGAAAAATTACAAGTTAAAAATGGTATTTATGATTACTATTTGTCAATGGTAGGCGAGAACAAATTAAGTTCACAGTGAACCTAAAGTAGTTCAGTGTAGCGCGAGAACGGATTAAGTTCATAATGAGCGAAGTTCCGCGCGGCGGAGCAGCGACCGGAAGATCAGCGACTTCCGAAGTCTGGAGGAGAATTTCGGCGTGTCGGACGCAGCTCGTGTAGCCGGCGCATGCGGTTGCCTGCGCTGGCGTTTCCCAGTGAAAATTTACAGACGCAACAGCTTCTGATTTGGAGTATCAGAAGCTGGGGCGACTCTAAATTTTGTTAGGGTTGCGGTTGCCTGGGCCGGTCACATCGTTGGGGATTTTGGGGGCTGGGTTGGGGGGTGTTGGGGCTAGGGGGTGGTAACGGCCGGGGTTGTGCTGGGGCTGGGGGAGGATTCAAGAATGCTGGGAACTGTAGTTGGGAATGCTGCTGTTGGGGCTGAGACATGCAGTGGGAGTGAATATGGCTGAGGAATGCTTCCGTCCCACCGTGATTTATGCTTTGTCATCGCCAAGGATCATTTACCGGGCCATATATAATCACGGCGAGACGCCACAGAGCAACAGACAGAGAAAAAGATAGAAAAATAATAGAGCTATACCAGACAGAGAAAAAGAGAAAATAATAGAGCTATAAAATGGTAACAAAAATTAGGAAAAATGTAAAAAATCGATAGCCGGGAGTAAACCACGAATATTATCGGACGAGATACCCTTAATATAAGGAAGCATATTAATTTCAAGCATCAAACTATATATAACACGAGTGAAGCAAATGCCTTTCAGTCGGCCACGCGCCGTAGCCGCATTTGTACGCATTGTTCGCGTCACGAGTTGACGTGAACTGAGCTTTAACATCGACGCCGATAGCCTACTATTTAGTAAAAACAGATATGCAGGATGCGTCATGTAAATTAACCACATACCATCTTTAAATGCGAATAATTTAAGAGAATGAGATTAAAAGATTTTCTTATCTAGTATTTTTTCGAGGTTATACGTCATGTTTCAGTATTCAACACTTCGACTCCCATTGCTTCATCTTGTACTATTATTCAATTTTTTGTACTGTTTTTAAACAGGGTTGCCAGACGGTCATTTTTTCCGGACAAATTCCGTGATTTAATTTTTCACAATTGCGTTGGCCGGCTAAAATTTATGATAGGGGTACTTCCGAATTAAATTTTAAGTACTGCAAAAAGAAAATAAATGGAATTTTTATAGCGGAACCTACAAATAAAGTAGTATATATCGAGTTATCGGCCTATTTTGGCCTTTTTTGTTCTCGGATTTGGTCGATTTTAGGCAACCTGAATTATGTACCACTACGTCCTGAAGAAATAAATTTTGTGGTACGCATATGTACCACTTCGGAGTCAACGTGTTAAGCGTCGATTCACAACCAACATGCGTGACCATACTTGCAAGTTGCAATTAAACTAATAGAATGTAATATAAAAATATCTAGCATTATAATGGTTAAATAATTAATGGTCATGATTAAAATGGTGGTTTCAGGAAAGTAAAATGTACATCCGGATTTCCTGCCCCATGGAGTCTGCGCGGACAATGGAATGTTGATAGCAGATGCCACAAGTCCAAGTCAACAACACGGAAACGCACAAACATAAGCTCGGAATTTCCTAGCCCACAAAGACTATGTCTCTCACAGGCGCAAGTAATTGTAAACAATGAATGTATGAGGGTGAATGAGCGGATAACAAGCATGCTGGGCTGTGCCTTCAAAAATCGATGAGGGTTGGTCCCGAGATCCGCGACTCTGCTCTGCAACATGACTTCTAAAGTTCTAACAAGCCTAATTTCCCTTTCATTTAGCGTGTATGGGAAAAAAATGAGCTTTTTACATATAGCAAAGCATATTTACTTACCATTGGCACCAAATATGTGCGACATTATGCAAGATTTAGCCTCATGAGCTTCACTATCACAATTCACCGAGTCTCACGGCGAAAACTTCGAGCACGATCATCACACACACTCTCACCACCGTGTCTGACGCTACACTGTCATCATCAAGCCGCAGCAGCTGCGCTGCTGGCCGAAAGCCCGAAACAGTGAGGACAGAGGAGCACAGCATCCTGAAAACAGCAGAAGAAAACAATCGATTAAATTTGCAGAGAGCATTTAAGATCATTTCAAACAGCTCTCAAGTTTAATAAATTCAGCATGAATCTAACTCTCTCCACATAGTTTACCAGCGGCGTTGGCAGTGCGACTTCACGCAGCAACTGATCAGATAAACTACAGTTCCGAATTCCCTACTTTATGATTTCAATTGACCACAATTGGTTCGTGAGAGAACGCCGAGATGTTTTTGAACTCTAGAAGATGAACGAAATATGATGTTGACTATATGTAAATATATAGTCAACATATGATGTTGACTATATATTTCCATGGTTGAATTATATAAGGTTGATCCACGAGGATTTCCGTCTTTCAGTTCAGCTTTCTTGTTACGTAACTGAGATCGAGAAACGTAAACTCCTGCGTAAACTATCCCGCCATTCCCATGGCAGATTGCTTGACTAGTTAGGTCACATTTCGGCGAATAGTTAAATGCCCGTGACGTCATTGATATCAGTGATGTCGCAGGCGAACAACAAACTACATCCGCAAAATTTGCGTTATTTTCCAGTGGTATTGCGGATACCATCATCATTAATTCTCTACTCGGTTTTGTGAATGATGGAAATTATCAGTTTATTTGGAGGTCTTACGTTAGAATGCTTTCAATGCAACAATATCTGCTACCGTCAAAATAGTATGTGATGATACTTGACTAAACAAATAATTTCAAGATAATTTGTTTCCCATTCTCAGTTTGAACATTGGAAAATACTAATGAAGAAATGAACGCGGCAATTTTTGATGCGAATTTTTCACCATTCAAAGTGAAAGTGCCATTGCTAACTTGACAGGCCGGCATGTCGGACAAGAAATCCAAATTTTTACTCAGACAAATAAATTGAAACAAGCGGAAGCACTATATTTTTAATAACAGAAAATCTTCATTTTGGAATGCTAGTGTAGGACAACTTATCGTTGTACTTACTCGCCAAAAATTTTGGTGCTAAGTAAATTGTAAATATTTCACGAAGGCGAGAAACAGCGCTTTTACACTCAACGATAGCTCGTGATTCTGCATCGACAGCATAGCTAAAATGAACTATAGAAGGAACAGTGCCGTAAGCACTGATTACGGCAAATCCAGCACGCCATCAATTCTCACATGTGAATGAAGAATTAGTACAGCTTGCTCTCAACAGGAGCTCTTAACTTTAACCAGTAACACCACTCGACGATTTACGAGGCTCAGTTACTCGCGTGACGCACAACTGATGCACTGCTTATTATTTTTGGGAAGAGAAAATGAATACTCAGAAGTCCACAGAAAAAAATTATCATGAACAAGTGTATTTTAAAATAATGAACAAGCAAGTGAATTCAAAAAGAAAGAACAAACTTTGGCATGATGAATATCATTCCAATATTGAAAAGTTGAAGGAGTCCATGTACTAGACGAATGAAGTGGGTAAACGTCCCGTTTTTATTGTTTAGAGAAAACGCATATAACAATTGACTATAAATCGAAAGTTAACAACTCTGATGACATTAAATTCTTTGGGCAGTAGCTTTCACTGAAGACTGGGTGGATACACATTTATAAATCATTAATAGAAATACCGAGTTTTATATAAGAAATAGGTCTCGTACAACAGGTTACTTAGAAGTTTGGTCAAGACACTAGTTTATTTTACTTCGGTTAAGAAATAGAACAAAATTTCTTATCACAGCTAGACAATAATTATTTTTCCGTTCTAAAAAATATGAAAAATGCTCCTAAAAAAGTATAAAAATATTATTTTGCCTTTACAAGACAGTACTCAAGCGAGTAAGACTTCAATCTTTATTTGAGGTCCCAATATGTAGGAATATTGCAAGTATAGCAGTGAAGATACTTTCAAATTATCTATGAATGTGCTAGCTTCAATAACTGTGCAAGAACGCATGAACTAATTCTAATGAGTAAAAAAATGTGGCAGAAAATAAGCATACAACAGACCATGGTTGAACTATATACGGTTGACCCGCGAGGATTTCCGTCTTACAGTCCAGCTTTCTTGTTACGTCACTGAGATCGAGAAACGTTAACAATCCCGTCATTCCCATGGCGGATTGGTTGACTGTTTGATCGTATTTTGGTGATTGGCTAATGCCCGTGACGTCACTGAGATCAGTGACGTCACAGGCGAACAACTAACTACATCAGCAGAAATAAGCTTCTCATGGGTCAACCTTATACTAGTTCAACTAGGCAACAAACAACCTCCAAATTCACAAAAAATGTGACCAACATTTTTCTAGATAAATTTATCAAATAATAATTTCCTGATCGAACAAGACAACAAGAGCTAATATAAGTATTGAAAGAGAAGTTAAATATTATTTGTATCCACAGTGAACAGCAACGATTTTCAGCCTCAAAGTAAATCAATAACACCACGCAAGAAACGCATTTGCACGTCTCTGGGAATCATTGTCGACAAACTTGATGGAAATCAGTATAGCATGAAACAGGTTCTGAATACTTCTGTTGTTGCTAATCAGTTAGCACGAGGAGATGGCGCCTGAATGCATTCAGGAACTACTACCACGAAATTTTGGTGCGAGCGAACAAAACAAAATGTCAGTGAAATCTGCACACAAAAAAATGCGTTTAGGGACTGTCGAACTGTGAGCTCTTAGGAACTGAATACTCATATCCATTTAAGGACTACAGACCAGTATTAAGTTAGAGACTGTAGGTAAATCTGTTTAGCACAACCATGTACCAAAACGGGAATTGAGAATCTAAACCAATGCCATTGGAAACCTACATACCAGGCTATAGTTTTGAAAAGAATCACTCTTTTTTTTTTCTTGACTGTGGAAACCTCCCATAGGTAGATTCGTCTGCCGAACCCGGCAGTGAAAAGCAAGGAGAGCTGATTGACAGGCACCGCACTCGACACAATCAAGTCCCCACCATCGGAGCAAGCATGGCTGATTGCCAGGCCCCGCACTCGACACAATCAAATCCCGACCATCGGAGCAAGCATGGCGGATTGCCAGGCCCCACACTCGACACAATCAAGTCCCGACCATCGGAGCAAGCATGGCTGATTGCCAGGCCCCGCACTCGACACAATCAAGTCCTGGTCATCGGAGCAAGCATGGCTGATTGCCAGGCCCCGCACTCGACACAATCAAGTCCTGGTCATCGGAGCAAGCATGGCTGATTGCCAGGCCCCGCATTCGACACAATCAAGTCCCGACTGCCAGAGAATGGCGACGTTCTGGTGCCAACGACAAAGGACGATGTGACAGCTCCACTGCCGGCACCCGCGGTGTTAGTACCGCCCCGAGTAGAGGAGGACATGTGGTGCGGCTGATGATGCGCCTTGTCTGCCCAGACCACGGTGCAAACCATCCATCAATGCCACTGCGCAAGGAAAGCGCACACAACAAATTGTGCTAAAAATTTCGACCAGCAAGCTAGTTGAATCCAGATCTATACTACTTTATGGAATTGGTTATGTATGAATAAAAAAATTTATTAATTAGAAACAGAATTGAAGTTAGAGAAACATATTTTTCAACTAAGCAGGCCACAGGATTAAAAAGAAACACAGAAGACAAACAACAAAAAGAACACAAACTAAAATGTAAAAAAATTAAGCTGCAAGATTAAAAGCACATAGGCATTAATACACCATGTCCAATCATCATTGCAGTAAAAAATTTTATGTTTTCTCTGGGTACATGAAGCACAAACAATACTGTAAAATTCTTAAATAAAGTGACACACAATTAGTTGCACAGACAGTAGTAGTAACATGGAAGTGTGCGCGACACAGTAAAAAAATTAAAGTCAACTGCATCTAAAACATGATTACTTGGGAGAATAACAATCCCTTTCAATTCAAGTCACGTCTACACAAGACAAAATACACTGATAAAAAAAGTCACCTTCAGCACCAGATATGATAAATTGACAACACAAAAGTAATGAGCAACACTAGATAGAATAGATTAATGGAATATGAGTCACCTGTCTGTTGCTGTGAGGCAGACCAGCACGTCTGATGATGCCATATTGATCATGGCACCGCACACGGCAAGGCAGTTTAATGGGAGTCCAAGTGCGTCATGGCAGGCGGCGAGTGCTTACCACACACCATCTCTGCAATAAATAATGCACTTTAAAATTCTAATACTTCAAAAATAATTGGCTACATCTACCTTAAAAGATACTAGAAAACACATAAATTGATGGGACGGAAATTTTATTTTTAGTTGATATTCTGCTTCATTAGAACATGGTTTGTATAAATTTATAATTTATAAAATAAGTACCAATAAATTTTAAATGACAATTCACCTGTGGCAAAGATTCCCCAGAAATATTCTGTACTGAACAGGTACGTCTTAAAAGACGACATGGTGCAAAACGTCAGTAGGTACTCTTAGCTTGACAGCAGCCTTGTACTTGCTGCTTCCAATAACTGCCAAACATTTTGAATTATGAATGGTAATACAAAAGAAACTGCATTTAATGATGCATTTTAAAAATTCATAGAAATTGAAAATCAATTAAAAACAATACAGAAAGAATCTGCATTTAATGATGCATTTTAAAAATTCTTAGAAATAATTTTGAATCAATTAAAAATGTTATTTTTTTTTTACACATTCAACCTGTGTTGAATGTGAAGGTAGGTATGCTGTAGGTATATACCGTATGAATGATAACATAGAAGTATTATTTCTTAATGAAAATTAGAAACTCACAAGACAATTTATTGCATGATTTTCAAATGTCAGATGACTGTGAATAAATAATGCACAAATTTCTAAAAATAAATTTACCAACGCAGCAACAAAATGTGAAAAAGCTCACAAAAATGATAATATAAGAAACATACATGATACGGTATTATTCTGCATAATGAGTAGCTTCTATTTTAGAAACCATCCAGGTCAAGTCATTCAATTCATAATTTTCAAATACTTATTTCAAACTTTAGAAGGAATTGGCTTAGAAAATTGTATTCTGATGTTCCTATCCACTTCTTTTGGAAGATTCTCATTCCAAGAAAATCCAATCTACCTGCTGACCATGCTGGGTGCACTATAAAATACAAGCAGGGAAATTTATTGATCGTTAAGCATTTTAAGCTGATGAGGCTGAGGTGGCAATTGAAAAATGCTGCTTGGCAGACAGACCAGCCACCATTCCAGCACTGCCACTGTGCCGCATGAGGTTGTTGCAGACAAACTAAGCAACATATTACCGTAAAATGGGGTGACTTTGACCACTTTTTTTTCAAAGTGATGCCATTTTTTTACTAGATAAGTTAAACTTAAATTGAAACATGCAAAATACAGGTCTATACTCTAGCTTTACTCACCATAAATTGCTGGCTCCTGCCTCTCATAGTTTTGATGTAATTTCAAAAAAAGTGATGATCTTTGTTACCCTAGCTCTTGGGGTTTCTTTGACCGGGTGGTAAAATCAATTTTATTTTTTGGTAAAATAACTCCAGGTTGTGGTGCATTGTAGTAGAACTCTTCTAGTTACATATGCAAAAGACAAATTTTAGGAAAGTTTCATGGTTTGCAAATGGGGGGCACTGCCCCCAAATGGGTGAAATGTGACCATCTAATGGCAGCCATGACGGGGTAACATTGACCGGTTTGGAAATTAAGTTAAAATTACCACATATAAGACTATGTAGAGTCTGAAAGATAAAGAAAAAAACATTAATAGGTGTATCAAACATAAAATATGTTATATAGGTACCTATGGAAATTTTAACTTAATTTCCAAGCCGGTCAATGTTACCCCGTCAGAGCTGCCATTAGGTGGTCAAAGTTACTCCATTGGGGGGTGGCGCCCCCCATTTGCAAACTATGACACTTTCCTAAAATTTTTCTTTTGCATATGTAACTAGAAGAGTTCTACTACAATGCATCAAAATCCGGAGTTATTTTACCAAAAAATAAAAAATTGGAGGGGGTACTCCGACAGGCTATAAATAATAGCTCTTTTTCGTGGGTCACATTTTTAATTTTTTAACCTATTAGATATGCAAACTTTTTAAATCTTTCTATTGTGTTATGTAGCCTCAGTAATCAGTATTAGGCCTTTGATGGCCATTGACGAAATTTTTCTATGTCAAATCGTTTTTGAGTTTTGGGGGTTTTTGTTAAAAAAACTAAAAGTGGTCAAAGTTACCCCGCCGGTCAAAGTAACCTCATTTTATGGTACCTGCCTACTTATTTGATGGGTTCAATTTAGAACAAGGTTACCTATTCAATACCATAAAAATAATAGTTCCAATTAACAAACAAAATCCAGGTCAAGCTATTCTTGACAAATTAAATTATATAGGTATTACATCATGATCTTAAACTTAAACTAGCCAGTTATGGGAAAATGATGAATTCATAAATGAACTCTGAAGAAGGTTTAGCTTAGTCCAACCCTTCTCTTGGTAACACTTGGCCAAGAAAACACATCTTCTCATGTCACATGAAATGATAGTAAGGTACATCATAGTAGAGGTTAGAGCCAGTGTGGAATTCTATATAGGTAATATATTCTCATGTCAATTTAAGAAAACGTATCGAAATACCAACCCTACCACCGTGTTACACCACCTTCCACTGCAATGAAAATTTATAAACTGAGCTCATTGGAAACTACGTAGCGTGCTTCCTCCCCATTTGCAAACTATGACACTTTCCTAAAATTTGTCATTTGCATATGTAACTAGAAGAGTTCTACTACAATGCATCAAAATCTGGAGTTATTTAACCAAAAAATAAAAAAATTGGAGGGGTTACTCTGACAGGCTTTAAATAATAGCTTTTTTTTTGTGGGTCACATTTTTAATTTTTTAACCTATTAGATATGCAAACTTTTTAAATTTTTCTATTGTGTTATGTAGCCTCAGTATTAGGCTTTTAATGCCCATTGACAAAATTTTTCTATGTCAAATAGTTTTTGAGTTGTGGGGGTTTTTGTTAAAAAAACGAAAAGTGGTCTAAGTTACCCCGGCGGTCTAAGTTACCCCATTTTACGGTAACGAAATAATTTGTTCACGTTTTAGGCTTCCGAAAATATTTCAAACCTCTATCAAAAATATCATAATTAATCATTCTCTTACATTGAGCATATGAACGTTATGCCTCGTGCTGCCGCACCCGCGATTGTCATTCATTTCTGTCAGTTGCATGCCGGGAGCTTACTTTCGTTGTTCTATGTAGTCTTGCTCCCATGAATTGCGTGTTTATTGTGTGCATCATGGAAAAGTTCTTTGCTGTCACATTAAGAGACAAATCTTTAACAAACTAGTACTTTTTATAATTTTAATTGTTAAGTGCAAGCTGCCCTGCAGACACGCAACATTTCCAAGTTAAGTGATTACTTTATAGAAACTTTTTATACCTTTACCTATAAGTGTTTAAGCCTATAAGAAGTTTATTTTTTTGCCTCAAATAATGTTGTATCGAAAAACTGGTCTAGGTGTAGCGAAAATAATATATGAACTGTAAATTTTAGAATTCCATCCTGGACTTCGAGCATCATTGCAAGGTTCAAGGTTGTAGGGGATATCGTGTTTAACGGCAGTTTAAGCATCATTGCAAAGTTGTAGCTTGTAGGTGACATCATGATATCACAAGCCACAAGGTACATCACAGTTGACACAGTAGAAGTTGTAGGCAAGTAGGCAACATTAACATCAACGTCATCAAGTATCTTAAACAACACTTCAAGCCCAAGGTGACGAAAATTAATGACCAGGTCCAGGTAGAGAAGTGCAGAGTTAATGGCAGAAATAATGCAACATTCTTACATTCTACAGCAATCATGTCAGTAGCAGGAGCAGCCACCTGTGTCACAAGTATTAAAATTGCAGCAAGTTTAAAAAGTTTCAAGTTTCAACAGTTGAACTGCTGCCTGCTGGTGTACTGCAGCACAAATAGGGTAAACGCGGTATATTCCGACACTTTAAGGACGCATCGAGAAATGAAAAACTATAAAAAAAACGTATGCGTTACGCAAGTTCTGTTGGCTTCACGTGACTCTCAAAACACCTCACTACGCGTCGGCAACGATGAAACGTCACAAAATGTTGCCATATTTATTAAAAAGCCTTTAGAATGGAAACCTACCAAATCCCTATATTCCGTCACTTTGTGTGGCAACATCCNGTGACCACTCATCAAAACGTGATATTGCTGTCTCTTATACACATCTACCATTTCAACCATCAGCGAACGCATGGAACTAAAACAAAGCTTAATATAAAGGAAAAACTAGAGAGGTGACGGAATTACCTACGATGTCGGAATATACTGCGTTTACCCTAGTGCACTCAAACCCAAAGCTACTTAATCTCTCAAATGGCCACACAACCACTGCAGCTGCCATCTGGCCATCATCCGATCATCGTCAAAACCATCACTTACTAAGCAGTAAAATAACTTGAAGAAATAGTGTTGGAGAGGGGAAAAGCGGAGACTATTTTAGAATTTGGACTCCTCCTCAAGTTCAATTTTGAGTCTTATACTGGGTAAGTAGACCAGCAAAGTATCATGGATAACAGCATTATCATATATGAGATATTGGCTTAAATATTGAGCAAATAAGGAAAATAAAAATTAACTGATTAGGAAAGAGTCTCTGTTTTGTCAATGTCACTGTGGGCTGTGGGTGTGGGGCAGCTGCTCTCATTCCAGAAGCTTGGTCTCAATTCACTGGATCTCTACTCATAGACTGCATTCAGCCATGCCCACTGATGAAGACAGCTCGGTCAAGAATGAATATCTCAAAGTAAGTATGCAAGCATCAGAATTAAGCAATGTGTTAGAAAGAACAAAAAAGCATGACTGCTGGTTCACACCATCTGATTGCATTATGTGGGAGTATGTTACAGAGTTAGAACCTCTTATGGGGCCCAGCAAGTTAAGTTATCAGCAGAACACCAATCAGCTACACTTTGATCTTGATCTTGATCTTCTATTAGTTGACGGCGTGTTCCACCAGACTGACCAAAGGCGATTCTCGCCGTAATCTGCTTATTTATTAAGTCTCAGGGCTGGAATCGATGAGTTTTGCCGATGAATTCTTCAACAGCTTTGCAGATGTGCGGCCAGGCAGGGCAGTTGGAGGTGTCTCCTCCCAGCAGTGAAGCAGTGCTGAGTGTANTACTGAACGTCTTCTACATGATATGGCACCATGTCCAAACCTTTGACAGCCATAGCAGCGAGGAGGAGGTGCAAGGTAGGAGTGTACGTTGAGGGCTACATTGTGAAAAAATACCTTATCTGGTACAGCTGAGGAGCATTCAATTGCAATGCGCATTGAAAGAAACTGGCTATTGTTTGGGTCTGTTACAACATGACTTGGGTATAGCTTCTTTATGGATATTATTTTATTTGAGTTTTGGCTGGAAGGCAATGTGAGCTGGGCAATCAGGTCTTCTGTTGAGTAGCTTAGTATGGACTTGTCTTCCATATCAGTCAGGTCAAATACCACTTCTCCTTGGTAAAGGGGTGGGGTTTTGGGAATGCGGATAGTATATTTTATGCCATTGTGCTCATGGGTATGCTCTGAATTGGTAAATCGGTTTAAATTAGTAGCAGGTACTTTACCAGTGATTAAGGTGCCTTTGGCATTGCGATGCAGGCTGTCTGGTTCAATGAGCTGCAACGCTGGCCAGTTCTTGAAGGTTTGGGCAAAAAAGTTGAAGGGTAGTGATTTTTTGTCTTCTCTCATCAGTAGGCATGTAGTTTGGGTAGGCTTGTCTGCTTGTGCTGTTGACTGTGAGCTATTGGTTGAAGA